CCCCAAAACCCCAAAACCCCAAAACCCCAAAACCCCAAAACCCCTCTTTAATAATAAGTCTTTGCAATAAATATATCTTCAAGCCAAATATGGGTAATATTGATTCAAGATACCAATTTGAGCACGGAAATGTGTATCTCCAGACTGATAAGGCATATTTCGTGGCTGGCGAACAGATCACAGGTAATATTTACCTCAACTTGAGCATGGGATTTCCAGCAGCGAGCTTGGAGATCCAAGTTGAAGGAAAAGAAAAGTGTAAATGGGTTACTAGAGAGACAAAAGAGATTAAAGATGGAGATTCGACAAAAACTGAATTCGTTGACTTTTGGCATAAGAATGAAAGGAAGATAATAACCTATAAAATTCCTGTCTATTATTTCCCTGGTGGAATGGCCCCAGCTGGACAGTATACTTTCCCATTTTCATTTGCATTACCATCAAATCTCCCAGCCTCAATTTATTATTGAGGATTTGATAAAGCAAGTGCTTTCATCAAGTATAAGATTAAAGCAGTTTTGGAACCAATAATTGGACTGACAGTAAAGAAAATGAAGTTTAAACAACCTCTCGTGATTCGTCAACCTGCAAATGTAAGCGCCATGGCTCCACTTCAAACAGACGAGCGTAATGTATATGCTTGCTGCTGCTTTGGAAATAAGGGAGTTGCAAAAATTACAACTCAATTTGAGAAGGATGGATACTGCCCAGATGAGACTTGCAGAGCAATGTGAGATGTAGATAATTCACAGTGCAGTGGAGAAATTAATAATATAACTATCAGATTAGAGCAACATGTTGAGCTTAGATCTAAAGATGGCCTCACATTCACAGATAAGAGAGTTTTAGAATCTAAAGAATATGATGGTCTCGCTGCAAACTCCAACACTGGAGGGATGAACAGATTCTTAGAGCTCAGTCTTGCTGGTATTAGACAGCAAGCCAGACCTTTTGATGACGTGAAACCACTCAGTGCTGATGATTTATATCTTGCTGAAAGAATGCAGCCTTCTTCTCACGGAAACGCTGTAAAATTATGGTATACATTGACCGTGTTTTGTAATTATGGTACATGCTGTGCTGAAGAGCCTCATTGTACTATCCCATTAACTATTACTCCACCTCCCCTGCCTAGTTTCGGGCAAGTCCAAGCTCCAGCAGGATGGTCTCCAACAGTTTTCAATACATTTGAATTTAATTTACCAGGGCCTGGAGAAGTTTTATCAGCAGCTGCAGCTACTGCAGCACAAGTAGCCCCTGTCTCTGGAAATATATCTATTAACGTTGGAGGTAATGCCCATGCTCATGAAGAAGTCAAGATGCAAATGAACATCCCAGCACCTAAGATAGGACTCTCCATCGATACAGATAAAATAAATGCTGAGGTTCCTGTTCCTCCTCCAGTTAGTGTTGATATAAATACTAATATTCCTCCTCCAGTTGCTATAGACACCAATATTCCTCCCCCAGTTGCTGTAGATGTCAATATCCCTCCTCCAGCTCCAGCAATGAACTTCGAGGTGACTGGCAACACTATGGCTGAGCCAGACCAAGTCCAGATGAACATGAATATGGGAGGTATCGGCATGAATGTTGATATGCAAGTCGAAGGTAATGCTACTTATCATCAAGAATCAACTGTCAACGGAGTTACCACCAGCGTCACCACTCATGGCGACATTCCTCCACCCTCCATGGGTGTCGGAGCTGACGTCTCGGTTGGTGCAGGCGTTGGAATAGGCGGTGGCATTGGAGTCGGAGGCGGAGTCGGCATTCAAGAGTCAGATGATAATGTCGAAGTTCAAGCCAACGTTGGAGTTCCAGGAATGAACATGGGAATAAACATGAATATGGATGGATAATTCATTAATTTTTTGAGATAGAGACAATAAAATGAAGTTTGATTTTCAACCAGACCGATTTGGTTAGGGGTTTTGGGGTTTTGGGGTTTTGGGGTTTTGGGG